TGTCTGCAATTGCTGTCCTGATTCTAACAATTAGGATGAAGGCTAAGGGATTTTTTTCCTTTCCCAGAGTATTAGTAGTAATTATTAAAAGGTATCTTCAGAGCTTCTTCAGACTGTCTTAAACATTTTCAGTTGTACAATTGTGGTGAGCCCATCTTCTCCCCCAAAAGTTTACAGTCTAGTGACTGTATCTGAATTCACAGAGAACTCAAAATTGAAACCAATTTACATTTTTTTTTTCTTGGTTTTTTTTTTGTTGGTTTTTTTTTTTGTTTTGTTTTGTTTTGTTTGTTTCTTTGTAACTGTGGAACTCCCATTCATTTCACTTACAGCTACATTGTATGGACAGAAGAAGTTATTGTCCTCAGTTTCATATGACTACACTTGTAGCTACCGTAATGCATGGAATTTAAATAAATTTTATTATGTCTGCAAATCTCTGGGCTTTTATTTTTTTTGGTAAATCAGGGTTTACAAGCAACTTTTTTTTTTCCTACCAAGTGAACAAAGCCCCCAGTTCCTTGGATCTTAAACTAATGAAGAAATTAAAAGCCAAGGAAAATGACTGTCTTGTTCATATTCTGGACTGACTTAAGATTTCCAGATTTCTGACTGCTTTCTTGAAGCAAGCTCATGGATTTGAAATTTGCAAAGACCATTATTAGATAATACTTAGATTCCTGAATTCTTAGATCTTTTAAATTTATTTTTTTTTAAGGCATTGAAATGCATCTGAAGATTACATGATGCTCCAGCAGAATTTTTCCACTTTAGAACAAACTTAATGGGGGATTCTAAAACCTCATTATTATGAGGCTGGCCTGAGTATTTATTATTAAACTGAATAATCATCTGGTGGGTTGGAGTACCAGTAGATAGAGAGTCTGAGTATTTCCATTACTCATCCCATCCAGTGCATTTGATTACATTTCCATAAATCCAGTTCATGTCACCTTGTCTGTAAAGGGAGGCTGTTATTGTTACAAATCTGTTACCAGAATCCACATTATGCAATTAAAGATATTGCTATCCTGGAGGAAGGTTTTATTTGGGTATAAAATATTTGCATTCTGTAGCAAATACACTGATATGAAAATGTAAGGCATAAATCTGCACAAATCGGCTGCATTTTGGGTAGAAGAGCTGGAAGTACATTGTGTTTGAATAGTCCTCAGATCACATCTCAACTTTTTCATTTCATCTCCATTCTACATTTTATAGTCCCATTTTTACTACTCTTAAGTAAAGCTAAATCTAGATGAAAGAAGGAAAAAAAAAAGATAATGTGGCTTTGTTGGAAATAAATTCTATTTGCTGATTCACTGATGTAATAAACTTTTTAAATGACCATTTTGAATACTTCCTTGTGTGAAAACATGGTATGATGAGACAAAACTAAAGGAGCTGTGCAACCACAACAGTCGAAGGGAAGAGGAGGGGGGAAAGGGGAACAGAATTTGGATTGAAGCTCCAGGAGCACTGCCAGGGTAACTGCACAGAACACTGGCAGAGCATTCCTGGCTCTGGCATGGCTGTCACTCGTACCAGCAGAACTGGGAGCGTGTCTGTGCAGAAAGGAGAGATTTGGGGGGTTGTTTTCCCCAGTAAAAGAGCATTTGCAGTGTGGAAGTGATGAGGATCACACCTGTTTCTCTCTGCTGGCTGGCCAAAGTTTGTAGTGTAGATATGGCTTGAGTGTTTAGCCACGATGTAACTTATAAAAACATAAATTATAATTCTCTAAATCAAGACCTTGTATGTCCTGGAACTGAAAACCTTGGTATATGTAACAAAAATTTAATGTAAAGCAAAAAAAAAAAAAAATAATCTGAATGTGCAGCAGTACTAATTATTTGGCAACAGGAAAATAATGACTTGTTTCTGCAAGTGCCCAGAAGCAAAGCACAGTAACTGCAGGAGTGGGTGACATGGCCATCAGCTGTCTGCTTGAAACCATTCCAGCCTCCTTGGGCATCTGCAGACAGTCAGGAACTGATCCACAGATGTGATGCTGCATTCCTGAGGCACTTCCTCTGGCAGTAAATGGTGTTCCTGAACAGCAGCTCCTGCTGATGGTGTAACAGTGTTGGAAGAAACAGCTGCTTTAAGGAGGTTTATCCATGGGGATATTTGCTGCTCATGACCTTTGTGCCCCTCTACAGATCTTTTTCAGTGGCATGAAAAGCCCAGGGAAAAGTGCTCAATGAACATCCTCTGTTTTAGGCTACTTATGGCACCACTCCATATACTAAAGATCATGTTAATTATGAGAAATGTGTTTTTATAAGTGTTTATTAATGAATATTACCTAAGGACAAAAAAAATATTGTTTCAATGTCCCAAGTATTTGATTCTGTATTACTCTGGCTTTTTGGTTCTTAACTCAGACTGTTCAAATTGTGATGATAAAGCAGATGAAATGTACTCCAGACAAGACTGTTTTCTTCCTGAACTGGTACTTAAAGGCTCTTACTTCCTCTGCTGTTTTTGTATACCCTATAGAGGATTTGGTACAGAAAAATATACCAACAAAACTGCAGTTACTGCTGAAGATTTTATATTGTGAACTTGTTTCTTTCCTTGTGTTTATTTTAAAGCACTATAAACCTGACAAGATACTACTTTTCCTCTGAAGAACTACTAGAAAGGAATTCTAGTCTTAATATAAAGTGGAAATTTATGCTAACAAACCCAAAATCTGTTGTCTGTGTGTATATAACTTGATAATGCATATCCTTTCATTGGCTTTCCCTCCTAAGAAATATCAACTTCCAACATAAATTGGATTTTTCTACATCTCCCCTCCCTGAACATTAGCCTGGAACAGGAATAATCTTAAACCTCAGAGATCTATTTACAGCAGAAACAATTGCTACTTGTAATTCCCTTTTGCTATGAGAAAGTACAAAATCAGGCACGTAGAGAAACATAGAAGTAATGAGGTAGAATGGCTTGCAATTATTTTAAATCTTAGCATTTAAGTAAGTGGCACAAATGGCTTAAAGAAATATACATACTTTCATAGTCCAAAAAGTTCAACTGAGAGCTGCAGCAGGATAATGTACAGCAATTATCAAAGCAACAAACCTAATTTCCTTGTAGGAGTAACTGTAAATTGAACTGGCTAAATTAAAAGTGCACTCTTTTATAGTTTATATTCATTGCATGCTGTATTAAGCTGAAATACTTTTTATCCAGAGATTAACTTAATTTTTCCAAGACTGTTCTGTTAGCTGTGTCAAGTACCTTTCCAGAGAAAATGATTATACTAAGGCAGTTAAATCACATCTAGTAAAACTCAGTCATGTCAGACCTGAAATTGTTCAGAAAAATGTACTTGGATGAGACTGATGTGAAAAATTTGAATTTGAGTCACTAATAATAGTCCCTTTAGTTTTATCCTATTAATGCTATACTGACCCAGTACAGTCAGGCTTCAAACAGGCTGATCAGTCGTATCTTGCGAGGCTAGCCTGGCTTATTTCAGAGACATGTTCCAGCCATCCACTTTTTCTATTTTGTTTTAACATGTCACACTAGTATGTTGATGTTTTATTAAAATAGGGCTGCTCTAAAATATGCAAAGAAGCAGCAAGGCTAATACAGTTATCAGAATACACAACACCACGTGCCTACATTCTGCCAGTACTGAGAAGATTTTAATGAGTCTGCCCTCTTTGCCCACCCTGCATGTTCCTCAACCTCAGTAATTTCTCTAATCAATACTTCAAACAACATGGCAACAATGGATAGCTTTTCTTTTTCTTAGCCAGTTTCATTTATTTTGTGCAAACATCACAATAGGATTTTGGTTTTCACTCTTTAAAATCTTGTTTATGTCAATATAATTTATGTCTGTAAGTCTGGGCATGTCTTGAAGCCTATTATTCTACTGTTGCTCTAAAAAACACTAACAGCAGAATGAAAATATAAACCACTACATGAAACTAGAGTATTTTAGTTTCTTCTCTTTGTACTTTCTCCTTGCACACTGATGGATTAACAAATTCTGTTGGAAGACATCTGATGAGAAAGAATAAAACCAAAAATAGAAAGGCAAAGAGCAAGAAAAAATCTAGAGAAGAGTGAATGACTCAGCCCCCTAATTACATGCATATTTAAGGCCTGGTGATGCATAGCTGTGTTACCCAGGTAGCAGCTTACCTGGGTGATGAATGCAGAGCAGGCAAGGCTGCCAGGGCACACACAGCACTGGGAATGAGGCCAGAATAATTCCTGGCTAGATTTTATCTCAGAACAATGTGTTTATCCAGCATGGAACTCAATGGGATAAGCATCCTACAACTAAGCTACCTCCATGTAGTCAGTCAGTGCATTTCTAAACTGAACAGTAGACGCAGCAGTTGTGCCTTTATCAGTCACACATGAGGAAGAAATGGTTTGGCATGTGATAATCAGTGGCTGCCTCAATAGCAGTGACCTGGAAATAGCAGAGTTCAAGACACAGAGTATGGAGAAGATGAGGAGCAGCAGGGCTTTAAGGACATCCAATCATAAAAACAGTTCCTCCTGATACTCAGGAAAACAGGGGACTTACAACAGCACTCCAGTGCAAAAGGACAGTAATACAGGAGGTAAAATCAGGGATAGGCTTCAAAGAAGGAATCTGAAGACATGGGTAACAACAGTTTCGACATCAGGGATCTAAGGGTAGAGATAATGGCTTGAGCTGTACCCGAAGGACAGTAACAAATGGAGCACTGGGACACTCGGCACTGGCACAGCCTCCACCCCTGGTGCTGGGAAGGCCGGGCTGGACATCCCTGAGCATCCCCGCCTGACCTCCGGCTGGCGCTGTTGCCGGGGCGGGGCGGACTGACGGCCCGCGGAGCTCTGCTCCGAGCGGGATTAGCCCGTGACCCTCTGGGACACAGCTGCCTCCGAGCACGGGAGCGGTCCCCGCGGGGTACACTCCCAGTCCCAGTCCCGGTCCGGGACCCCCCCGGGACACCGCGATCCCCCCCCGTCCCGTCCCGCCCCTCCCCGGACGGAGCCGCCGTGCCCCGGAAGAGGAGCCCGCGCAGGCGCAGCGGCCGCACGTGGCACCGGCGGGACCATGGCGAGAGGGGCAGAGCGCCTGGAGAGCGCCCAGGTACGGCGGGAGCGGGGAGGGACAGCCTGGAGAGCGCCCAGGTACGGCGGGAGCGGGGAGGGACAGCCTGGAGAGAGCCCAGGTACCGCGGGGAGCGGGGATAGAGCACCTGGAGACAGCCCGGGTACCGCGGGGAGCGGGGAGGGACAGCCTGGAGAGCGCCCAGGTACGGCGGGGAGACAGGAGGGAGAGCCTGGAGAGCCGGGATAGAGCAGCTGGAGCGGGGCCGGGCCGGGCCGGGCCGGGGTTTAACCACGGCTGGTGCCGTTGCAGGTGAAGAAGGCGGTGGAGGCTCTCCTGGCTTTCTCCAGGAGCAAGGCCAAGGGAGACGCGCTGCTCCTCAACGAGAACGAGAGCGTTCACCTCCTGGTGACGGTCTGGAAGGTCCCGAGGGAGGCAAAAGTCATCAGAATGTAAGAAACTCACCGCCTGCCGTCTGGGTACAGGGGTTGCTCGTGTCCTTTGGCTTGGGAAAGAGCACTTTGCTGATCCTGAGCTTTAGGGATTTGTCTGCCATGGCCCCCTCCTGGCAGCTCCTGTGCCTTCAGTGAGAACTGCTTTAGCCCCACTTTTGGTGTAACTGGAAGCTGGGCTGTGCCATCCGGAAGCACAGAGAATAGTGATTTGGTGGGTTACCACTTACAAGGTATGTGCCTTTCAATCCTGAAGCCTGAGAAAATAAAGCCACTGAGGTTCCACTGAGGATGTTTAGTAGTTAAGAGAATCTAAATACAAGAGTTTCCCTGTATTGTTAAAGAGTAATGATGTCTCAGTGTAGACCTAGTTCTGGAAGGAACTTCTTTCTTTTATTTGACATTCTTTGTCTGTCTCATATCCTCACTGTAGACCACTGCCCCATGGCATTCGACCAGAAACAGCTGAGGTTTGCCTGTTCACCAAGGATGAACCAAATTTATCAGCAGAACAGACGGAAAATCTGTACAGGAAACTTTTAATCCAGAATGGGATCAGAAGTATTAGCCAGGTAAGAGAGGTGCTTGATGGTAGAGTAAGTGTTTGAATATTTGAGTCCTTTGCAGCTGGATTGGATTGTTTATGCTACTAGCAATAAAACTATAGAATAATTTTATTGTTGTATTTAACCTCGATTTAGACGTTACCATGTACTCAAGTTCAGTTACTATGCAAGACATCCATGTTGTTTCATTCTTAAAACAACAGGAAAAGGATACAGTACATTCTGATTTCCTTCAGCATTCTAAAATGATGATTCTGTGCAGTTCTAGGCTGTGTTTCTAGCAGTGGGGACTAAACTGTTACTTGCACTGCAGATCATCCCCTACAAGACTCTCAAAAAGGAGTATAAACTGTTTGAAGCGAAGCGTCGCCTCCTGAACAGATTCGATCTCTTCCTGTCTGACGACCGAATCAGGAGACTCTTGCCCTCACATCTAGGAAAACACTTCTATGAAAAGAAAAAGTAGGTCTTTAAATTGTGGAGATCCATTTTTCATTATCTTTTCTAAGATTAGATTCTTAGTGAAGCAGGGGGTTGGCTTTGTTTGGGGTTTTCTAATTATTTCCTTTTTTTTAACCCTTTATTTTTTAGGGCACCTTTATCTGTAAACCTGAAAGCCAAAAATCTTGCTAAGGAACTACAAAGGCATATCCAAGGGACTACACTCCCAGTTAACAACAAAGGGTGCTGTTAGTAAGTATGAATAGATTAGTACCTCACTTGAGGGATGGCTGTATACCTTAACTGTAGGAATTTTAAGTGAGTTCATTTTTAATCCATTAGGAGCCCCTGGTGGTCTAGTGGTAAAGGCGCGGCGCTATCACCGCCGAGACCCGGGTTCGATTCCCGGTCAGGGCCACTCCCGGGCAGGTGGGGCTCGTTAGCCCTTAAAGGCAACCCACCTACGTCCTAAGGACCTCACTGCCACTGTCCAAGCTCGCTTGGCCCCGGCAGATGAACCTTAGGATTAAAGGGTGGGCTCAGTTCCGCGCACACTGTGTCTCACCTAAAAAATCCAATGCGCAGGCTGGAAGGTGGAAAGACCTTCCCCGGATCTTCGCTCGCGAAGACTGGCCATTAGTATGTGAATAAAAGATGTTAAGGCTCACCATGCCAAATATGGGCCATTTTGAACCTTAACCTATATAAATAAACCAGTAGTTCTGTTTAAGACATTTTGCTGTTAAGTTTTAGTTTTTATCGCTTTTTCCTTATACCAGAGGAATTTCTAGGCACCTTTCACTGTCAAACAGCATATGCAATCTTAGAGAAATAGTCCTCTTAAATTAGATAAAAACTATTTCCAAAATATGCTAGTACTTTTTTTTTTCATGTATTGTGGATCTAAAAGGATCTAAATTTGTAAAATGCTTCATAATATAAGGCAGAAGTTCCATATCCAAAATATGGAAACGTAAATACGGGTGAATCTCTTCTATCTGCTGTTACAAAAGACTTCTGCAATAGCCAGCCATCCTTTATGAAAGTAAAGTAAGTTATTGATGCCTAAATACAAGTAACTTGAAGTATGTTTATTTACCCACACATAAATATTACTCTTCTCCCGTTTCAGTACAGCACGTGTAGGTCACACTGGAATGAAAGTGGATGAGATCCTGGAGAATGTCATTGCAGCAGCACAAGTGATTGCTAAGAAGTTACCAAAGGTACTGCTGACTGACTGTGTTAAAGCCCAGTGAGTTCATACTTCAGCCTTGTTATTTTTACAGAATATACTGGTTTTGTTGTTGCAGAATTGGAAAAATGTAAAGATTCTTCACCTCAAAACTCTTAAATCGGTTGCGCTTCCAATATTTACTGCGAATGTCTCCAACCTGGATGAGCTTGACAGAGAGCCCCCTCTCAAAAAGAAGGAAGAAAAGGTAAACCAAAATTTCTTCAAACTTTGCATAAGGTCAGATTGGTGCAGTTAGTTCTTGTCTTCCTTTTGTGCACTATAGTGTTGGGTTTAAATGTTTTAGCAGGTGATCCCAGGTATTTATGGCTAAAAATGGGTTGGGCCATCAGTGCCTCGGTGCTTCAAATACTCAGTATTACAAAATTATGGAAACTCTCTGATGGGTTGTAAAGCAAACTGGAAATAAATGTTTCTAGTGCTAAACTAAAGGGAGGTGAGATTCATTGTTAGAACTTTGCTGGTATTGTTTATTCATATTTGCCTTCTGAAAATACACTCATTAACATAGAGGTGGATTCAGACTACGCATCTATTTTTTGTTGGCTAATCAGTGACATCTGAATAATTCACAAGCTCATATATTTGTATACATGGGGGGCTTATACTTGTAAAAAATAATAATGGCTAGTCCTTTGTACTGAGTTCTGCTTATGATAGTTTATCTGAAGTAAATGTGGAACATGAATATTCAACTTAAAGACTGTAATCTTGACACTGTTATAGTTACGAGTTATTTATAATAATCTTCATGCAATGCATTTTTTCATCAGTCTGGGTCTACTGAATAAGGGTCTTTAGATGAATGTTGCTACAGTCTAATTTTTAACCACATTCAAATCATTATACATTTGGAAATGTTACGGGGATTTGTACATGTACAAGTACATGTACAGTGACATGTACTTCTGATTAACTCTAGAAGGGCAAAACCAAGAAACCAAAGAAGACAGCTAAAAAAATGAAGTCAAGTCAAGTCACTGTGACAACTGAAAGTAAAGCTGCTGCTACTCAGGAGCCTGCAATAAAAGAAAAAGTAGAAGTAGTCCAAGAACCAGCTGATCATGATGATGAAGAAATTCCACAACTGGTGCCTATACAAACAAAGAGTTTAGCTGAGATGGAGGTAATTGCTTCATAATATTGGAAAACTCATATTTCAGTTAAAACTAAAGATTTTGAACTATTTAAATTGCTCAGTGCTCCTTAGGTAACAGTGTGTTAACACACTTCAGAGGGACTGGGGTGCAGTTCAATTGATAGAAAGCATTTGTCATTTATCATGGTTTTCATTTCCTGAAAAGCAGGAACTACATTTCTTAGGTGGAAGGGTAATTTTTTTGTCTGTCTTAAATACAGAAAATGGAGCCGAGTCCAGAAAAAGGTGGCAACTTGGGCAAGAAAACTAAAACACCCCTTGGGAAGAGAAAGAAACAACCTCTAGTTCCAGAGACTCCAAAATCCAAACCTGACATTGCAGGAGAGCGTGCAGACTTGCAGACACCACCCAAACAGAAAAAAGCCAAGCAGGTCAACAAGCCAAAGGAGGCAATAAAAGAAAAAGATGTGAAAAAGACTCCAAAAAAACCTGAAGTGAAGTCTTTTGCAACACCCAAAGCTGGCAAATCGATACAGTCAGCCAAGAAGTCTTCAAAACCATCGAAGCAAACACCCAAGAAAGGGCGTGTGCCACAGTCAGCATGAAAGTTGTCTGTTGTAACACAGTTTATATTGTCATTCAGTGGTGTATTTTTAGCAAGCAAATATATTCATGAAGTAAAATACCTTCTTAAGAAATCCGATCCCAAGGGCTTTTTTTCCACTGAGATCTGTTAACAGTTCATTTGTTTCCTTCTAATTTACAAGCTGGTACAAATAAATTCACTGTCTTACCAGCCCTATCACTTTTTATCCTCTCCTGGCCCAAACCAATAGCACTCAGATTTTTCAAGTGTCAGAGGGCAGGGGGAATGCTAATCCAATGAAAAAAAGCTGAGAAATATTTTATAAGTGACATTTCTCGAAGCATAGTTTAGTACAGACCAGGTCTGAAGCAAGAAGCACGCATGCCAGAAACAGCAATTTACATGTGCTTTTAAAGCTGCTACAGTTGTTTTCCTATATTTTTTTCAATTTAATGAAGACAGGTTGACATCTATTGATCTTACTACCCATATTGTAAGTTAGAAGCCTGATACAATCAGGCATTGGACTGGGCTGCCCAGGGAGGTGGTGGATTTGCCATCCTTAGAGGTATTTAAGAATAGATGGGATGTGGCACTTAGTCTGGTAACTGTGATGGTAGTGGATCAAGGGATGGACTTGATGATCTCAGAGGTCCTTTCCAACCCTTCTCATTCTATGATCTATGAAAGTGTGTTCATCTAGGGAGCACCTTTTTTGAAGTGCCTCCTTTCCCGTGTGTCTGAGCGAGGTGACGCTGCCCCAGCGGGAACAGCTGAACGTGTCCAGCCGTGCCCGTCTCACCTGCACATGGTGACCTCCACTTCCAAGGGATGCCCTGGCCCCCGAATGCCGTCGGTCGCTACACATCAGCCTTAAACACCTTCCGCACCCACGGCGGGGGTGGCGGGGCCGCCTGAGGGCAGCGCGTTCCCGCCTCGTCGGGGCGGGAGCTGGAGGTGCCCTCAGGTGTGGGGGGCGTGGCCTGGGCGCTCCCTCAGGTGCAGGCGGGGGCGGTGCCTGGCGGTGCCCTCAGGTACGGGGGGACGCGTCCCGGCCGTGCCCTTAGCTGCGGGGGACGCGTCCCGGCCGTGCCCTCAGCTGCGGGGGGCTTGGCCCGGACGGGCCCTCAGGTGGGCGCCGCCCTCCCGCCACTCCCGCCCGCCTCCCCTCAGGTGCGGGCGGCCCGAGGCGGCGGTGGCGGCGCTGCTCCCGATGGCGGCCCCGGGCGGGCTGGGCCGCTGCGTGGCCGCCTTCTGGCTGGCGCTGGCGTTCGACGCGCTGGGGCTGGCGGTGCTGCTGGCGGGCGTGTTCGCCGACGTGTTCTTCTCCGACCTGCTCATCTACGCGGGCGGCATCGGCATCTTCCTCAGCCTCGTCTGGTGGGTGTTCTGGTACGCGGGCAACCTGGAGGTGCCGCCCGAGGAGCTGCGGGACGACGTGGGTCTGGCGGCGCCCAAGGGCCGCGGGGACACGCTGCTGCGGCGGCTGGTGCACGGGCTCAGCCTCCGCCTCACCACCGCGCTCGGGCCCGCACGCCCCGCCGACATGGAGCTGCAGCGCCCCGCGGGGCCCCGCGGCCGCCCCGCCGAGCCCGGCAGGTGAGACCAGCCACGGGGAGGCTGGGGACCGGCCGTAAAGTTTGTCTGGAATTCCAGAAAGCTCTCTCCTTACCTGAGGTCGGATTTAATACTTGCTGTGTTAAACCACCTGCTGGCAGCTGGCGCTTCTTAAAATGAAAGTAGTGGGAAATCTTTCTCAGCTCAGGCGGTGATAGAAACCGAGAGAGAAGGATGGCCCCAGTGCGATCAGACAGGGGAGACACTTCCTGTGGCCGTCTAGGAACGGGAAAGAGGAGCTGGAGTAAAACCCGGTGAGCTTGATGGAGCTTTATGTCCGAGTGCAGCACAGAACACTGTGTGCTCCTGAACTGGTGCTGAACTGGTCCTGACAGTCACTAAATGCTGCCCGAAGTGGTGCGTAATGAAACAGCCATTAACCACTACCCACATGCGCTCTTGTAAGGGGAAGCTCCTCTTCAGCACCATGAGGGAGTTTTCTAAGAGAAGAAGGTGAAATGCTGACTTGTGTTTAACTTGGGGGCAGAGTTCTAGCTAATAGGTTGACGATCGTAAATGCAGTCATTAGTTAAACTACTTGTCTTGAGCCTCAGTCATCTAGAAAAGATGTGGTAATATCCGTTGTGCAAAGAAAGTGCCTAGGTCCCATTTCAAAGCCCAGCCGAAGACCGTCAAAGCTTTCAAAATCTCCCTAGTTTGTTCTTTTACATGGCATGTTCATTTAGGGAGAAAAGCATGCTAAATGCCTTGAAAAAGCATGTGAGAAAAAAAGCCAAACTTTTACTTCACTATGTAAAATCCTTCATTGAAAGAACTGTAAGAACAGATTTGCACTGGGTGTTCAAACTGTTCAAGGATTCTGAACAACTTGCTGTTCTGATTCACTATCTACAAGATTAGCTTTTTCTGCAGCTCCTTGAAACTAAATTCTGAAGTTATGTTGGTTTACAGAAAAGTTCATGTGGAAGTCACCTTCTTTCACGAAAGCCCCAAAATTTTTCTTGAGAGGAAGTTTTAACAGTGAGGAGATTGAGCATAAGATAAGTACTGCTTAATAGAAAACTTGTAGGAGGCGGAAAGGAGCAGCAGCAATACAACTTTCAAAGATTTGTTACTGCTCACTAGTTTATTATTAACTACATCTGCAATTACAAAACAGGCTGTTGCAAACGAGTCATTTTCTTTTCAGACTTTCCTTTTTCTGAAGTGGGTCTAGGATTGACAGATAGAGATCCATATTTGCAGAGAAGAAATTACATTAGTAAATTACCTTTTTCATGTAAAGATCACGGCAATTGCAGATCTTGAGTTTCGGTAGATAATCTGCTACCTCTGTAGATGACCCTACTTTCAATATGCATACATAGATGTGCATTTTGTTGTAATGAGCTTCTAGTAGCGAGACTTGTCCATCTTTTTAAAATATTTCAAGTCTTATTCCTGATTCTAATTAGGTTTGTTATTTCCTGTATAGGGCTTTACTACAAGTTATCCCAAGTAAATAGCAGCTTCTAATGTTACAGGAAACAAACTTCTGTACAATTGCATTAGTAATGGTAATTCAGAAGGAACCAAAACAGGGAGTGTATAAGAGCTATGTTACACATTGTAACATAAAACTCTATGATTTTACTTTCAAGGTAGAATAAAGGGTAACAAATGGTGGCATCTCCAAAGATAATTGAGAGTTCCTTTTTGAAGTAAGTTTATCTGAAGTACTTTGTATCTTCTCACAAACAACTGTGTGAATCAGATCATTCCTTACTGACAGATATCTCCCCATCTGGAGATATTTATGAACTTAACCAAACGGGTTAAACATGTTTGGGCAGATACTGTCAGGAGACAGGAAGGAAGAAACACCACCACATACACACATGCACAAAAAAATCCTCCCTGTATTGGACATTGGAACAGCTTCCATTAATAACTTCCAAGAGTTACTAATGGAATATTGCCTGCTGGTCTGATGTCCCATCTTAAAAATGAGATAGTAAAAATGAATGAGAAGAGTGAGAATTCCCAAGATATGGAATGCTTCTATTAAAGGAATAACAAGTACATTAGGATCCTTGAGCCTGAAAAGAGATTCAGATGCTGTTGGAGATGGGCTGTTGACTTGCTGGATCTTTCATTTGGATCCCAGTTGGCTGTTAAACATGAGGAAAAGTACTTCTAAGATTGATGTCAAATAACAGTTTAGAGTTTTATATGCTCATTGGTGTTAAGACTATTTTTGAGTAACCTTTTCTTACTGTATTACCTTCAGGATCTGTTGAAGACATACCTATCCAAGTTACTGCCTCAAAAAGCGGGGGAAATGATGCAAATTCTGGAAAGAGAATTCCCTTCTCAAAACAATAGGATTCTCTCACTGTGGGATAATCTCTGCAAGCATTGTGGACTCTGAATACAATGGACACATGGAGCCATATCTCTGCCAAAAACACCTATTTCAGCGTTGGACTGGATATACTTTGAAATGGTGGGAAAAAAACAACACAAAATCACTTTAAGAAGTGAAAACTGAAAAAGAACTGACCCCAATTCCCAGAAAAATCTCTGCAGCTTGTCATATAGTTGTGTTTTTTAACTACTATTATTTTTTAAAACCCTGGAAGGTTTGGATAAAAAGCTCTTGCACAATGAAAAGCTCTTGCACTGTTTTACCAAAGTCTGGAATTTAAACCTACTGTGAATTTTTATAATGCCAGTGCAATACTTTTGTTTGTAAGGGTGCTTTTAAAATCTATATTAAACTATTGATGCAAAGCTGCAAATGCAGTAGAAGTTGTTTATAGTGTAAATACACAATTTACAGTGTCTCTTGCTAAGTTTCATTGTTATTTTGGAATAATGTGGAATTTGAGATTTTAGCAGTAGACAAGTAAAATCAGCAATGTTGGCACACCAGTACAGTGTGTGTAGTTGCAGGTGATGTCATTTGATGACTCTTGCAAAAGGCATTTTTAGTCCAGTGATGTTGGGAATTATTCTCCTAATGCTGAAGCATTTGAGGGAAGGGACAAGACTAAAAGAAACTCTCTTGATTAGCAAATACTCTGAAGCTTTAAAAATATTAACAAACAGTACCTGGAAAAAGGACTCTTGTTGATACCTAAAATTCTTGTGTGGAGAAATTCCTCATGAGCTCCTCTGTTTTTGAGCTAAGAGTCTGAGCCCACCATCAGCAAATACTGGTAGGTCTTAAAATTTCAATGTACAACTGATTTTAAGCCACACCTTACTGAATACTAGAGGTGGAATTAAGGAAAATATTTACTAAGAACACTGTGGCTGTACTTCCTGGTGAACTCTTGAAATGTCTTTCAATGTTTTCTTGTAAATTACTGAAGTAATGTCTTATCTGTGCATATTCTCTTCTTAAATGTTTCCCAAATGCTCTCAGTCTTCTAACAAGTTAAGAACACTAAATCTGAAGGTCTGTAATGTTATTTCATCTTTATTAACTGCAGTTTCTAGGAGGTGTAAGCAATTGTTTCCTCCTTTTAATGGAACTGCAGTGTGACACCACTGAGATGCCACAGTGGTATGATTGAAAAAAAAAACAAAAACCAACCAAACAATAAAGCAAACAAGCTCCTCCCTTAAAACCCATTTCTCACTTGCAAGATTTTTGTTTTTCATTTCATTGTTCCTAACAGAGATAACTGCTTTTTCTGATTCCCTGTGGTTTCACTTATAAAGTGAATTATGAGATACAGTATTTAAGAAGTGGAATGATTAGTAGCAGCTATAAATTAAGCCAAACCTTTGTGTGTAGCCATTCACATACTTAGTCTGGTAGAAACCAAAATTTTTCTGTTTGAGTGTTGCAATCATAATTACCAGGGTGAATTGAGCAGGGCTTTGCATTCATTGTAGGATACAATGTAATTAATCTTAAATCCAGTACCAATGTTTAATGATTGTTGCATAAGATGGTAGCTAGAATGCTGTTGCAATTTCACTCAAAAATTGTGTGGGATCCAAACTTTTACTCGTATGAACAGTGTGTATGTTTTAAAAATGAAATACAGGAGCTGATCCATCAGTTAAGGAGGATGTTAAGCATAGAGAAGAGCTAGAATGTTACTGGGATTGTGTGTCTAAACAATGAGAAAGAAAGTACTTGCTATGGAGCAACAATACCTATTGTAAGTATTGTAACTATTTTCTTTTTGAAAATGTAAACCAGTTACTGTTTCATGAGATCAGTTTGCCCTTCTAAACAAGGAAGGCTAATGGTAAATAGAAACAGGCAGTGGAATTATTAGCAGTTGAACATTAACAAATATTTAATACTATTTTAGTTTCATGATGTCCTTATCAGCTGTAGCTGAAAGCAGCACAAAGTCCATTCAAAGAACTTTTACATTGTGGACTGGAAAGAAGTTCTTGTACATGTTTAGAACTGCTCGCTCTTGTGTAAACACAGTTGTAGAGCTAAAGCTAGAATTCATTTAGACATTAAGGACAGTCCTATGCATTCTGTTTAAGAACATGGCCAAAATGACAAAGAACCAAACTCCATTTCCTAGAGTGGGAATACAAGAGTCTTTTGTATCTGGTTAAGCCTTAAAACCAGCTCAAAATGGCATCCTATATTCCACGAAAGGAAAAACACCAACCTCCTAACTTCTAACTATGTGGATGGATTAAATGCTTATTAAACTCTTTAAACGTGGACTGCACCTAAAGAAAGTTTTCAGGTGGTAATATTGTCTACTTAAATGGGAACACCTTTATCAGGGAGAGATTATATTATTATGAACTACAAAAATCTGTTTGATGTGACTTTGGGGAGTGAGAGTTGCTGAAAGGGAGGTAATTATTACAGGAGTAGTTTGTGTAGAGAATTAGCCAAAGTGTTTAGCTTATTGAGAGGGCTAAGGTCAAATAATGTCACGGGTTGCTGGACCTAGTTTGTGTGAATTGGTGAAGTAAATGTTATGTATTCAACCAAAGTAAATTTTGAGGAGATTGGGTGTTACTGAAGAACTACACACGAATTGCATGTCCCTGTTCATACTTATCCAGGTAGCTCTAACAATAGTACTTGTGTGTGTGTGTGTATACAATGCTTTGAGAGGAAAACAGACCTAGCCTACAAGGAGACGATGAAAGCATCCAGAAATCTCTCTTAAAGTTCCTGTGCCTCTGTTCTAGCAAATGCATAAATGCTTCCCAAGATCAAATTCCGTTTTGTTTAAAGTAGATTCCTGGCCTTCTTTAGTCTCAACTAAAGTTGTTCGGATCATTTAGTTTATCCCTCCAAACTGCAGTGCTAGGTTTTGAGTTGAAAACCCTTCATATCCTGTCCGGCCGTGTCCTTGGTGTCACCTCTGCTGTCACCGCTCAGGGGGAGCTGCCCGCGGGGTCGGGGAGCGCTTTCTTGTGCCAGAAATCGGCTGCGGATCGCTCCACCGTGCCGTTGTGGATAAACCCGGAATTCCGCTTCCCTGCGCCCTGTTACCCTCCAGTTCTGGGGTCTGCTCCCGCGGTGCCGTCCGTGGCGCTTCCCGCTGCTCCTGCCCGGCTCCATCCCCGCGCACCGCGGCGGGAAGAGCCCGCTCCGGACCCGTCCAGCTGTTCCAGCTGGGGCAGCGTCACCTCCTCAGACACCCGGGAAAGGAGGCACTTCAAAAAAGGGGCTCCCCAGATGGACAGCCGCTTTGTAGACCTCCACACTCGCAAGAGGAGGCAGCTGGTAGCAGACAGCAGAGATTTTCAAGAGTATAACGTGCAAATGCACAGAGACTCCTTTAACTCCGTGCTTGAGGCTTATAAAGAGCATCTGGAATACAACTTCAGGGTGACAAACAGGAAAGAAGTTGTCGATGCAAGACATAAAATGCAGCAAGTAAGCAGTTATGTAAAAGGCAAGACGTATTTGGGTTCAGCCTGGTTTAGTTAACGACCCAGCTCACTGGGTCCGCCCGCACCGCACCGGGCGGGGGCAGAGCCGCGGCCGCTCCGTCGCGGCGCTCCCTCCCGCCGCCCGGTGGTGCCGCTCGGTGTGCCGGCGCTCGGCGGGGCCGCTCGGTGAGCCGGCTCTCTGTGGTGCGGAGGGCGGAGCGCTCGGCGTTTCCGCCGCCCGGCGCTGCCTTTCCGCCCGGACCGGCATGTGGCGGCGCGGGGCGCGGCGCGGGCGGTGCGGGGCGCGGGGCCCCGGGCCCCGGTAGCGGCGGGGGCAGCGCCACCGCAAGGCAAGGGGGACCCCGGGGAGGACCCTCGGGAGCGGGGCGAGGGGCTCCTCCTGCTGAGGAGGGGCCGGGGGGCTGCGGGCGGTGCTCACGCAGTTCCCCGTCCCGCAGGCGCGGGGCCGTGGCCATGCTGGGAGGGGACGAGTTCATCAGCTCCCCGCCGAGGAAGACGGTGCGGTTCGGGGGGACCCTCACCGAGATCCTGCTCAAGTACGAGAAGGTGAGTGAGTGAGTGAGTCCGGGCTGCCCGCGCTGGCTCCTGGGGGGTCATTCAGGGAGGAGACTCATTTCGCCTTACACAACACCGTGTTTGAAGGCTTAGGGGAAAAACCTGAACGCGGTGAAAAGATTCCCCCCGTGAGTCAACCTGGGTGGATGGAAGGCTGGGCTTACGCCAGAGGGTGCACGGGGATCCCAACTGCGTCTGCAGGGAGAGCAGCTGAACGTGAGCCAACCCTCGGATGTCTTTCAGCACCTTGTTACTGCTGCCTCAGCCTTCCTTGAGCTGTCTCTCCCTTGCTTGTGTTCTTGATGTACATGTTCAGCAGTAATAGGTTGTTCAGATATGTTGATGAAATTGGTATATTTTGCTCGAAAAAAATTGAATATTTTTGTTTCCCCTGCTAGGGTGATACCACAGATTTTGAGTTGTTGAAGCATCAGCTGTCAGATCCAGACATAAAGGTAAGAGTTTTCATAGTCAGGAGTCTGATGATGTAAAGTTCGTCTGTCTAATGTAATCATCAGACAAGTCATTCTGGTGCTTCCACAGATCCTTTGCTTTAAACATTTGGTTGCATTTAATAGCTTTTTTTCTCTGTGGAAACTTTCAGAATTACAACTCTAATTGTGAAAAAAAGCAACTGTCTGTTTATACACATACATATATGCAGGATCTCCATAAATGGTGTCTCATGCTTAGTGACTCTTTGCTCTAGACTGAGAAACCTTTGAGTCTGTCCTTGTTCCAGATACCATCTTTCTGTCACTGATCCTTGATTTTAGAGATACTTCTGTACATCAAACCATGGTTTCTCACTTTAAGTTGCACCAAATTTTGCTTTCTGTTCTCACTAAGATCTTGTTGAATTAGGCAGTAATGTGCATATGCATTTAGTAGTTATACCCAGAAATATCATTTCACAGCTGCAAGAACCCACCACATTTCTGCCCTTTTTTTCCCCCTTTTAATTAAACCACAAAACAGTGAGCAGGGTGCTGCAGGAAGCATCATGCCATAGGGAGTCCCTTTTCTCTTTAAAAAGGACATTCTGTAATATGTTTTTAGCAGGCCTTTTGGAGCGTACAGGCAAAGCTACTGTTTCAGTATCATTTCAAGACTTGAATGTCTCTTCTGCTTAAACTGGAGGAAAAAAAAGAAAAAGAAGATCGAATGCCATCTTTTTAAGTATGTTCTGTGTGAGTGAGGTTTCATGCCTTACTCAGTCTGCAGCTGAAGCCTTCTAGGCAGGCTGTTGGTTTAGAAGTCAGCTTGCATGTATTCCTGCACTCAAGAACTTCTATTGGTGAGGACACAAAGAAATTCCTCACATATTAATACCGTATAAATTTCTATTT